CTGGGCAACAGAGCAAGACCCCGTCTCAATAAAAAAAAAAAAAACATACATACATAAATAAAAATAAACAGTAAAAGAATAAAAATAAAAACCACTTGTAAAAATTGGGAGGGGAAAGGGAAGGAGGTAGAATATGTGACGAATTCCATGTAGTTCATGAGGTTGGAGGGGAATGCAGTGAAAAATCAAGTTACAATTTTTTTTTTTTTTTTTTTGAAATAGAGTCTCGCTCTGTCTCCCAGATTGGAGTACAGTGACATGATCTCGGCTCACTGCAGCCGCTGCCTCCCGGTTTCAAGCGATTCTCCTGCCTCAGCCTCCAGAGTAGCTGGTATTAGAGGCACGCGCCATCACGCCCGGCTAATTTTTGTATTTTTAGTAGAGTGGGGGTTTCGCCATGTTGGCCAGGTTGGTCTCGAGCTTCTGACCTCAACTGAGCCACCTGTCTCAGCCTCTCAAAGTGCTGGGATTACAGGCGTGAGCCACCGCGCCCAGCGAAGTATGAATTCTTGATGGAATTAAGAGTTAGCCTCCGGGCTGCGCACACCTGTAGACCCAGCACTTTGGGTGGCTTTGGCAGGAAGATCACTTGAGCCCAGGAGTTCGAGACCAGCCTCGACAACGCAAGGAGACCCCGTTTCTACCAAAAAAATTTAATAATTAGCCAGGCATGATGGCGCGCACACGTTGTCCCAGTTACTCTGGAGGCTGAGGCAAGAGGAGGAGGCCCAGGAATTTGAGGCTGCAGTGAGCCATGATCTCGGCACTGCACTCCAGCCTGGACGATAGAGCGAAACCCTGGCTCAAAAGAAGAAAAAGAAATAAAACAAAAGAGCATCAGCATCTTCTGTGTTTATAAAGATGCAAAAGCTGACACTCCACCTTCACGTGAGTAAGTCATTAGTTAATCCTCTAGTTTTCCCTAGAGGATTCTGGGTGTGAGGCCTGCGCTTGTCTTCGTTAAGGCTCCCCCTCCAGCACGCGTCCGATTTTGGTGACCACATCCCCATTGCTACATCGGGGACATCGAGACACAGAGGGGCTGAGCTTGCAGGAGGCTGCCCTGCAAAAGATCCCTGACTCCAGTCTTTCCCCGCAGTGTACCACTGGCTGGAGATGCGGACCAAAATGCGCATCATGGGCTTCAATGCCGCTGCCGTCAAGCCGCTGAACGAGGGGGCAGCCGCCGAGCTGGGCGCGGAGCTGCTGGGTGAAGGCATCATCTTCATCACCGCCTGCAGCTGCCTGATGCTGGAGTACTGGCGCCACCAGTTGAAGCAGCGCCGCAAGGAAAAGGAGCGACGCATTGCCAGGGAGTCGCTGCAGGGCGAGGTGGGCCACTTGGGGCTGGCGCTCGAGGAGCTGCAGACGCAGGTGCAGGCCACGCAGATGCAGCTCGCCCTGGAGGAGCTGCGCGCTCAGCTGCAAGAGGTGCGAGCCCACCTCTGCCTCCGAGACCCGCCGCCTGCGCCCCCAGTTGTGCCGGCGTCGGAGAAATAGGAGGTCTCGGGGCCCTGGTCTTGGAGGTGACTACTGCCTGGACTGCAAAGTCTCCGTCTTGGCCTATTCTCCGCACTGTCCCATCCTGGACAGGCCCAGCTGACACCACCCAGTCCTTCGAGGGCGCCGCAGAGATGCTGGGCTGAAGCCGACCAACCTCCCTACTAAACTGCCCCAGTGGTACCTTCCACTGGGACTCCCCGCCTCCTGCAGGTGGAACGTTCCAAGAAGGACCCCGCCCTCTCCCACCCCGCCCCTGCCAGCGCATTGGTTGAGCACTTTGGAGAGGCAGCGTCTTTTATCAGACCCCACCTCCATCCGGCTAGGTAGGCCAGCAGGACGTCCACCACTTTCGGCAAAAGAAAATTGGATTCTGCACCTGGATTTAGCCACCTCTCATTCTGTCACCCGCACCCTCACTCACCTGAGTGGAGCATTCCCCTAGGACGCTTATCTTTTGCACCAAACACCCACTACCTCCACCTCATTGGTACAGACCATTGTAAAGATGCACAAAGTTCGTACGGACTTCCTGACTCGCCCCCTTCCATCTACCTCAGTCTTAGGGGGAAGGGAGGTGGGGGTGAATCCTGCACAGTGTTAGCTCCAATAAGTCACCACCCTGTGGCTCCTGACCTTAATCCATCTTAGTACCTGCCATTGGCATCCTCCCCTCCCTAAGTGGATCGATCCAACAGAACCCCCCTCTTCTTCCACCTATGGCGCACCCTACTGGCATGGCTATGCTGGGTCTTCCAGGGCGACGCCTCCCAGCCTGGCATTCTGTAGTCTGTTCCAGCAGGACGTGGCCTTTTGGGAGGAAAAACCCATCTTGACCAGGGCTAGTCCATTCTAGCTCACCAGTCCCCAGTCCTGGACCTACTGCTACTGTCCTTTTATCTGGTCATCCCTCGCTGTCCTCTTCAGTTGCCTTTGCTAGGGACCAGCCTGTCCCTCTACTACCTAAGTCATCGTCAGTTCGCCCAACTTCCCTCCAAATCTGCCCCTCAGAGTACTCAGGGATCGCCCTTTCTTCCTGCCTTTGGACTGGCCCAGGTCTCCCTCCGCCCTCCTTCATGCAAAGGCCTCCTCCAGGGGGACTACCCGTCCCTCAGCCCTGAGGTCCCCCTGTCCAAGCGGGATATTCCACCAGGCCATATGACCTACCCACCCGACAACTGAAGGGGGCGTAGGTGAGCTCTGTGACTCTGAATGCTACTTTTTACATGCACTGTCAGCGTGTTATAATTAAAGGAGCTCTGGGGTAGAGATCTTAAGAATGTGTCTTAGAACCATGATGTGCGTCTGCAAAATGTCATTGAAATTAGGAGAGAAGGTCGGACACAGTGGCTCACGCCTGCAATTCCAGCACTTTAGGAGGTCAAAGCAGGAGGACTGCTCGAGGCCAGGAGTTAGAGACCAGTCTGGGCAACATAACAAGACCACATCTCTACGAAAAACAAAAATATTAGCTGGGCATCGTAGCAAGCGCCTGTAGTCCCAGCTACTTCGGAGGCTGAGGCAGGAGGATCCCTTGAGCCCAGGAATTCAAGGCTGCAGTGAGCTGTGATCCTGCCACTACACTCTGGCCTGGGTGAAAGAGCAAGACCCCAACACATTTAAAAAAAAAAAAAGGAAAGAAGCTGGGAGAGTGGTAGAGTAGAGGCAGAGAATCATCTTATGAGCCCTTTCCCAAATCAGAAACTGAGGCCTGGGGTAAGCAAATGGACTTGCCCAAGGCCACACAAGGTGAGGCTTCTTCTGCCCCTCCTCCCCCCAGGGTGGTGAAGGGCAGGATGGGATGGGGAGGAAATGTCCTCCTAAGGGGCATGAGGAGGGAGGCTAGAGGGGCCAGAGATCATCCTGGCTGCGGGCCTGAGGATGTGGGAGCAGGTACAATGTGCAGGGTGGGAAGGAAGATGAGGGGAAGGTGGATTCCTGGGCGGAGGCAGGGGTTCTCAGCAGAAGACCAAATCTTCCTGGAGGGGCACGGGGGGCCGAGCACGCCTCTATCCCCATCAGAACAGCCCTTCAAATCACTCCAGAGATCTTAGCATTTATAAAAACTGGCAGATTTATTCTGCAGGGGCCCATTTTCAAGAAGCTAAAGGTGAAGGTGGGAGGGGAGAAGTTTCCTCCCCTTTTCCTTTCTCCCTCATCTTATTTTCTCCAAGGGGTAAAAATATGACCTGGACCCCAAAACCTACCCAAATAAAAAATCAAAAAACTGAGGTTCCAAAAAGTTACAGCATCTTAATTCCTCATAGAAAAGGGGGAGGAGCCAGAGAGAAGGGGAGTCCCTGGGGTGGGGGGAGGCACCCCCAGCCCGGTAAGACATCACCTCCCCTTAAATAGCTGCCCCAAATGGGGCAAGCCCGGGGCTATAGCATTTAAAAACTCCCACACCCCATTTTATCAAAACCAAAGAGAAAAAAAAATTTCCCTTTTCCCCCAAAACCCAAATATATATATATATTTTTCTTAAAAAAACAAAACTTTGAAGGCATTAAGCGTTAAAGTGAATCTAGAACAAAGGAATGTGAAATTCCCTCCTTCCTTCCCCCTTCCTGTGGGGTTCATTGGTGCATCCCCAGCAGAGGGACCGGCCCCAAGGGGATGGCAGAGGGGAAGGACCAAAGGGAGAAAAGGGCGGGGACCTCCCCAGCCAATCAGCAGCCAGTGTGGGTGTGAGCAGGGAAGCCACGCCCCCTTGGAGTTTTCCAAGTGGGATGGGGAATGGGAACGATGCATTCCTGTGTAGTCTTCAGCCAATTCCAAGTCAAGTAGAGGCAGGGAAAGCAAGGTGACAGGCGGGGTGTGCGGAAAGGAGAAGCGGGTCTTCTGGGTCCGTTCCTGTGGTCAGGGAGAACCCCGCTTCCTCAGCTCCTGGACAAAGGCTGGAAGGAAACAAGAAGCAGAGGTCAGGGGCACAGTCTCTGCCTCCTCCCTTCCAAAACAGGGCTCTTGCCCAGGGACATGATGCCTCCGAAATAAGTAAATGTTTAAGAACCAAACCAAACCAAACCAAACCACCTCACCTTCAATGATTTCCTCTTTCACTTTCTGCAATTCCTTCTTCACCTCTTCCAGAAGCTCCTAAAATTAATGGGGTACAACTAATCAGGAGCGGGTACTGGGACTTGCAGGAACGAATATCCCTTCTGTTACTTTTTGAGATGAGGACTTGCTCTGTTGCCCAGGCTAGGGTGCAACGGCACGATCACAGCTCATTGCAGCCTCAACTTCCTAGGCTCAGGCAATCCTCCTGCCTTAGCTTCCCAAGTAGCCCGGACCACAGGCACCTGCCGCCACAATCAGGTAACTTTTTCTTTTTTTTTTTTTTGAGAAAGTCTCCCTGTTGCCCAGGCTGGAGTGCAGTGGCCCAATCTCGTCTCATTGCAACCTCTGGCTCCTGGGTTCAAGCGATTCTCCTGCCTCAGCCTCCCAAATAACTGGATTACAGGTGCCCCCGACCAGGCCCAGCTAATTTTTGTATTTTTAGTAGAGACAGGGTTTCGCCATGTTGGCCAGGCTGGTCTTGAAGCTGACCTCAGGTGATCCACCCACTTCGGCCTCCCAAAGTGCTGGGATTACAGGCGTGAGCCACCCCGGCTAATTTTTTGTATTGTTAGTAGACACGGGGTTTCATCGTGGTCTCAATCTCCTGACCTCGTGATCCGCCCACCTCCGCCTCCCAAAGTGCTGGGATTACAGGCGTGAGCCACCGCGCCCGGCTGAGTCAGGTAATTTTTTCAAGTTATTTTTAGAGATGAGGTCTCCCAATGTTGTCCCAGGTTGGTCTCAGACTCCTGGCCACAAGCAATGCTCCCACATCAGCCTCTCAATGTGCTGAAATTACAGACATGAGCCACCGTGCCCTGCCAGAGTCCCCTCTTTCTTGTTGATGGAAAAGCCAGAGGGAGTAGGTTTGAGACCCACCCCTACCCCGACACCATGACATTGCTGTCAAGGTCGCAGAGTGACTGGAGGATTCTAGGGGAGAATTCTGGATCCTTGGAGCCGGAAAAGTACTGGAGAACATCCAGTACCAAGGTTGGCAAGTGCGTTCCAGCCTCCTGCCAACTCCAATTGGTGACGGACAGCTGGGTCAATGTGCGGAAGGGATTCAAGGCACTCATCGGGAATGAGCGCGGTGACAGATTAATAATGTCTGTCACAGGCGCCAGAAAAGGGGGCGTGGGGTCTGGGTCATCCTTGATCCAATCCAGCCTCTCCATTTGTCAGATTGGAAACCTGAGGTTTCTGAGATGTTACCTAGGATCATATGGCATGCCAGTGGCAGGGGCCAGACCTAGAACTCTCTTGCTGTGGTTCCCAACCTCCCCTCCAAGTTACCTGTTTCACCCTCTGTAGGTCCGAGTCATCGCTGGAGCTGGGCGTGCAGGGGTGGGTCTCGGAAGTGGTCACCGAGGAAGATGACTTCATCCTGGGGGAGTTGGCATGGTTTGGGAGAGCAATGAAATTAAAAAGAGGACCTGCTTCCCCACCTCCTATTCCAGGGATCACATTGAGTTCCGCCTTATAAATTGGGCAAGTCCAAGTATTTTGAGGTCCCCAGTTTTTGTTTTGTTTTGAAACAGTCACATTCTCTCTCCCAGGCTGGAGTGCAGGCACGATGGCGGCTCGCTGCGGCCTCGACTTCCTGGGCTCAAGTGATCCTCCCACCTTAGCCTCCCGAGTAGCTGGGACCACAGGTAAGTGCCACCATACTTGGCTAATTTCTGTAGAGTTGGAGTCTCGCCATGTTGCCCAGGCTGGTCTTGAACTCCTGGGCTCAAGCGATCTGCCCGTCTTGACCTCCCCAAGGGCCCCAGTACCAATGGCCTACCTTGGCAAGGTTGTGCTGTTCTTCTCCCAGGGTCTCCGTACAGATTCTGGGGATAGGCAACAAATCAGAAAGATCAGGGACAAAAGACTGCCCCCCAATCAATCTTACTCCCCCAATCTCATCAGCCCCTGTTCAAAGCCCCATCTCAGGAGACTACAATCCCCAGCACCATCGCCCTGACTCTCCCGTGAAGGTGCTTAACATGTGAGAACAGGGTATTCTGGGATTTGTAGTTCCTGTGGCTGGACTGGGCACTCACTCACCACTCTGGGCCGGGACTCTGGCCTCTGGCTCCTCCTGCTGGTAGGAAATAAAACTGCCATGAGCCAGCCCCTGCCGCACCTCTGCGCATTTCCTCTTTCAGGTTCAAACCCCACACATCCCACTATCCCTGCCCTCATGATCCGGCCTAAGAGGTGAAGGGCAAGAAGAGCCCCTAACTTACATTAGCAGATTCATCCTTGGGGGTTTTCTCCCCAACCTGTGTGGCTTTCCTTCTGCAGGAGAGAAAAGCAAAAACACATGCTCCGTCACCCAACCCATCCCCTTCCGAGGGGAGTTCTAGAAATGTAGATGCTAGGGCATAGAATTCTGGAACTCAGAAAACCTAAGGAAACTCTAGTTGCGAAATTGAAGAGATTGTGCTGGGCGCAGTGGCTCTCGCCTGTAATCCCAGCACTTTGGGAGGCTGAAGCAGGCGGATCTCTTGAGGTCAAGAGTTCAAGACCAGCCTGGCCAACATGGTGAAACTCTGAGTCTACTAAAAATACAAAAATTAGCCGGGCGTGGTGGCTCATGCCTGTAATCCCAGCTACTCAGGAGGCTGAGGCAGGAGAATTGCTTGAACCCTGGAGGCGGAGGTTGCAGTGGGTTGAGATCTTACCACTGCACTCCAGCCTGGGTGACAGAACGAGACTCCATCTCAAAAAAAAAAGAAAAAGAAAGAGAAAAAAAAATTCAAGAGATTGCAGTTCTAGAATCAGGATAGAGAAGGTTCTATGATTCTTATATTAGGGAATAGTAAGATTCCGAGGGTGGAGCGGTGCTGCGTTAGAACACTGAGATTGCCGGAATCTGAGTTCCCAGAATTCCAAGGCAGGATCTCCTACGGTTCTAGAATTCTGGGTTTCAGAACATTCTACAGGCTACCTAGGTGGTTGCAAGCCTCAGCCATTTCAGGAAATGACAAACCCCACCATTATATCCCAAACCTGGTTATCAAAGTGGGGAACATTCACCGAAAGAAACAAACCAAACAGGAATCGGAGCCCTCCCCTGACTGGGCCCTACTGAACTGGAATCTCCAGTTGACTCGGGCGTCCAGGCTCAGGCTCACCTCCGGGCCAGCATGGCGTTCATCTCTTCCATGAGTCCCCCACCTCCGCTTCGACCACTCTCAGCTTTGGGGGCTGCGGGCCCCCCTGAGGCCTCCTCCTGCTGGAGAAATTTAAAAGGGGCAGGAGCTTTAGGGGCAGGCCTTTTGGCCTTCCAGGCCTATGACACCGCCGGCAGCCCTGGCCTCATCCCCCATAAAAGCCCTGTTGCCCCTTCCCACCTCTCCCGGCCCCTCACCTTGCTGACTTTCCTGAGTTTGGCTCCAGCAATAGCTGCGGCCAGGCCTGGGGCCCCAGCTCCCCCACCACCAGGACCCTGTGCTGCTGGGAGAGGGGGTGCAGGGGGTGGTCCTCCCCCTGCTCCATGTGCTGCAGCTGGGACCCCCGAGGAGGGCAAACCTGGGGGTGGGGGGGGACCTGGAGGAGGGGGAGGTCCTGGTGGTGGGGGTGGACCCCCAGCTGGGGGAGCAGGTGGGCCTCCTGAAACAAACACAGAAAAGGGGGCAGCTGAAAGAGAAGCTTCGTTCTTCACTGTCCAGCTAGCTGGCCTCTTCCTCCAGGGAGGCCCCCTCCCAACTCCCGAAGCCATCTGAGCATCACCTGCATTGGAGACCCGGCGCTCTAGGTGCTCCGACGGGCCGGACTGCTGCCTGTAGGGGGAGGCGAGGGAGCTGCCGTCAATCAGGGCCCTAAGGATGACCAGCGAAGGGGCCAGCGACCTCCATCCTCTCTCTCAGAGGTCTCCAGGGACGCTGGCTCCTAATCCTCACCCAAGCCTTCCTCCCCTAGGGAACCAAGAATGGGGGTGGGTGAGAGTGGGGGGAATGGAGGGCAGGGCAGTGACAGGGAGAGATCTGAATGCGAGATTTCAGTCACTAAACTGTCAGGAACACCCGAATGACAAAATGCCCAAGATTCTTTTTTTTTTTTTTTTTTTTTGAGACAGAGTCTCACTCTGTCACCCAGGCTGGAGTGCAGTGGCTCGATCTTGGCTTACTGCAACCCCCGCCTCCCAGGTTCAAGCGATTCTCCTGCTTCATCCTCCCGAGCTGGGATTACAGGCACGGGCGCCACCATGCCCGGTTAATTTTTGTATCTGCAGTAGAGACGGGATTTCACCATGTTGGCCAGGCTGGTCTCAAACTTCTGACCTCAGGTGATCTGCCTGCCTCAGCCTCCCAGAGTGCTGGGATTACAGGAGTGAGTCACCACGCCCAGCCACGAGGTTCTTTCAACCACCATATTCTGATTTCCAGGAATCTGCAGGGACCAGGAGGTTCTGCAACTCTCAGTGTCAGAAATTTCTTGAACATTCTGAAAACTGCAAGTTAGCTGGGTTCTGAACTCTAGGAGTCAAGGGTTCTAGACCGTATGGAACTGGCCGTGGCTAAGGTTCCCCACCCAGGGCCCAGCCCCACCTTTTCTGCTGCTCCACCTCCTCCGGGGAGGGACCGTTCGGGACCGACCAGGTGGGAGGTGCTGGGGGTGGAGGGGGCCCACCTCCTGGAAGGTGAGAGAGAAAGGGCCACAAGTCAGTCCTGGAACTCTGCTCAGCCCTTGGCGTTTCCCTTGCTCTTCCAGGCCTCCCAGGAATCCTGCGCAGGGGCACTCACTTCCTCCTTCCTGAGGCCCTGAGGCTCCAGGCCCAGGAGGACACACCCTGGGAGGTGAGGCAGCACCAGCCTCCCTGGCCTGAGTTGCCCTAAGGCAGGTGTTGTTGTGATGTCCCAGTGACAGGAGAAGCTAAGGCCCAGGGGACAGTCACTTGCCCCAAAGTTCTCCAGGTTGGAATGTGCAGGAACAAGACTTGAATTCAGGCCGATTCCAGCAGCCAGGCTCTTAACCACTGTTGGTTTGTTTCGAGACAGAGTCTCACTGTCCCCCAGGCTGTGGAATGCAGTGGCGCAATCACGGCTAACCACAGTCTCAGTCTCCCCAGGCTCAGGTGATCCTCCAACCTCAGCCTCCCGAGTAGCTGGGACTACGGGCACATTTCACCACACCTGGCTAATCATTTATTTTTTTGTACAGATGGGATTTTGCTATGTTACCCAGGCTGGTCTCAAACGCCTGAGCTCAAGTTATCCAACCACCTCGGCCTCTCAAAGTTCTGGGATTACAGACATGAGCCACAGCACCTG